AACCCTTAAAGCTATACCAGACTTGTATAAATCATCAAGTGAATACACCGGGACACCACTTATATTCACCAGAGCCTTCACCTATTGAGGAAATTGACGAAATATTTACATTGCCCGTCCGTACCCGTTTAATTTCGGAAACCTGACTCTGAGAAATCATCCTTTATATGTTTTCGATTTCAAAACACTATTAGACTCATAATTTGTTTTAGAGTGTTTAAACCCGTTCACCTGATCCGTGAATGTAAGTTCGGAAATCTGAAAAAGAGAGATCGTAATTTATGTTTTTTATCTCAAATTCTATAAGCGAAAAGGGAATCAGTGAAAAGGGATTGAATCCCGCTCACCTGATCAGTTGACATGCCAAGCAGGAAGGCCAGCTCTCCTCCCTTGGAAGTACCGACCACGCCAATACCTCCAGGCTGGACACTAGGATGAGACACCAGCCAGTCTACAGCATTCTGAACAAAATGTTAACATAAATATGTCACAGGAACATCACATATTGTGCACCGGTTGATGTCTTATCAGCTTTAATTTCTTGAAAACTCAACATACCTGTGAATTATAACAAAACACAAGTTATAATTGTCAGAAAGGGTGAGTCTCCTCACAGACAATGGTAGTTTTAGCGACTCTTTTAGTTAAGAGCGTCTCAAATTATGAAGTTTTAAACTGTCGTAAAAGCAATGCTAAATGTCAAACACATTCTTCGCCTATTTCCCGTAGAATGTGTCTTCCAATACAAAATGCTAACTACAATTATCTTTAACATAATGAATATCTGGGGTAAAAAGGCCCATGGCGGGTTCAGATAAAACTGTTGAAACATTTTCATCACACTATTCAGCATTCAGTCAACACTCACTGAACATAAAATAGAATTACAACAAATCATATGTTCTATACATCTGACATGATGTGTGCTGGACCCTCAGCACATGAATTTTATAGAGGTCACGTGACCTGCCTCAACAGCAATATCAGGGACTGCCTACAGGTAAGATTGATTCAACACAGTAATGATTCAGTAGGTAGACATAAATTGGGCAAAAATATGTTAGACATATCTTATTTAGTTCAGGTCTGGTTATGCTTGGATCTATTAAGACGTTGGATGTATAACTACTTTTTAACAGCATTTTTTTTTAAACCAGATTAAATGAGATATGTACTCCTTCACGAATGGACAAATATAATAGCATCTAGCACTAGATATGAATGTTATGCAAGTTTTAAGATTAGCCTTGCTTGGATCAAGAGAAAACTATGTAAGAGATTCGACCTTGTGTACATTTGCAACCGATGTTTGCTCGTGCTCGAGTTGGATGTACGCGGTTACATATTGATACCTGGAGACATAATAAAATTGCAAAGTCTGAAAGGGTATGTACACATTGTACTTACAACAACGTCGAAGATCTGTACCATTTCACCCTAATATGTCCATCCTTAAAGAACATTCGAAAGAAATACATACCAATTAAATATTTAAATCGCCCTTCAGTACAACAATTTGTTCGCCTCATGGCAACCACAAACAATCAAGACATAAAATCTGTTATATTTCAAATATGCATTCAAGAGTAGAAATTAAATGTGAATCTTTTGTTTAATAGATCCAATTCTGTACAATGTACACTTCATGTATATTGGGCTATGGCCTTCATACAATAAACATTTGATTTGTAAAAAATATATATATATATTCAATTTACTGATGTAAACTCATTCCGACAATTAATCATGACTGAGATAGGAATGTTTCCAATGATTCAGGTATTATGACATTTTGTTCAAACAATATTACACATAAATACAGGTTAACTCTCGAATTATGTGGGCCTTACCCTCAGGAAAGAAAACAGTTCCTCTCAGGGAACCTTCACGAACGACAGCTCTTTTCACACTACTGTGTTGTACCATCGTTCTAACACGCTTGTGACCAGTACCACTGGTGTTGACAGCCGGAGGCCATCGAAGGGAACGTGGTCATCTAGGACTGACAGTCTGAAGACCAGAGGTGTTGTAACATCTATCTTTCTGAGAAGCGACGCCTTAGATATTCCTGGAACAGGCTTCAGACTCCAGAACAGTCCCATCCTGTCAACACCTGAATATAGAAACATAATAGCGATGGTGTATTTGAGTGAAGGAATGGTAATGATCTGTGGATTTGTAACCCAAAGTGAATTATCTTGGCTACAAAACGACAGTGATCAACATGTACAGTGAGAGTCGCTGTCAGCACTTCTTGTCCAGCTCATCTTAATGTATGTTCATGCACAGGTTCAGCTTTGTAAGACTCATACATTGCATAATATATATCAAAGTGTCAGTTTTATAATTCAATATTTACTCAAGATAAAAATAGATAAAATTCTTCGACAAAATATGCACGTCAAAATTGAACTTCATTATCTTAGTCTTTTAGGGTGAGTCGTTTACAGTGTTCAAATTTCATTTCGAAAAGAAATCTAAGAATAAACTTATTTTTTTAGCCTCGACCTCTGACTACACAGTAAAAACCTGTCATTATCGTTATTGCAAAAACTCAACTCCTAGAAACAGGATGGAAAAGTTACAGAGTATGACTGTGGGAATGACTGCCAAAGATTGGACAGTGTCCTTAAGTATGTGCTTGAATAAAACTAGTTTCAGAGTTGTCCGTGTGATGATTTCAGTTCATCAATATTGTCATAACCTGGAACTATTTTCACATAGCTGTTGTGCAGAACTAATATCCCTGATTTGAAACAAAGAGGTATCAGTGTCAGTAGAGGTAATCGTGAAAGATATTGATGTGCACAACGTAAATATTATACAGATAAATGAAAGTATGTGCAATGTTTCTCGGAGGTGGATCGTCTAGATGTTAATTAATATACCTGTTCATTCGTGTCTAAAGCTGTCTATCATAGCGTCTGTACGTTCCACCTAGAGAAGCATGTTGAGAAACGTTGACCTGTCCCTGTTGATCTGCCAGAAAATGGCCAGATGAGCTGAGCGCTGCCTTTCCTTCCTCCACCCATAACTGGCCAGATGAGCTGAGCGCTGCCTTTCCTTCCTCCACCCATAACTGTATCGTCACTCGCTGTTGTGGACGAAGACTGTTTTATGGCACAGTGGGTTGCTGAAGACCTATTCTACCCCGGATTTCGTCAACAAGTGCCACACGAGGGTTGACATTCACACACACCATGCTGGAACATCTCTGGCTTTGAATGGTGATGAGCCCTGATATTGGTTTAATGCAACACTTTCCCCACAAAGGAAACATCACATTGGAAGCAACGTAACAGTTCTCAGACAATCCCCAAGGCAACATTTAAAGGTATGCCTTGTTATCAGCTCACATTTATGTCGGTTGACGTCTTCAGGATGAGTAGGAGCGGATTCGTTATAACTGAAAATATGATCCTGTGCACATGTGTCTCAGACGCATCTTGGAAAAACAAAATATGTGTTTCATGTTTGCTCATTATACCAGCCATTGGGTGACAGGATTCCAGAATAATAGACAATTTCAGATATTCACTTATTCGCTATGACTCATTATCATGTAACAGCTGAGTGTTGATAATGTAATTCACTTTTGCCTCGTCAGATAACACAAAGAAGCAGATCATAGTCAGTTCAACCAAAAATCTTTATGAGGTAATGGAAAAGTTACATGCAGTCTTCTTCGTCAAGCTCAATTATACACTCATACAACGATCCAGAGATAAAATTAGGGGAATTTGCAACTCCACCTCAAGTATTTTTTCATGTCAAGGGATAAAAGTTTCATGGATGCTTGTCTTTGCCAACTTCCCGATATACAATATTACTGTATACTTTGACATCTTAGTGACGTCAGATAGGCTTTCTCATTCTGTAAGATCCTAGATGTACCACAGACTAACTTTCTTAGACAGAAGGGAAAATAAGTGGCGACAACAAGAGGAGCACTTGTGCTCAATCCCTTTGGACAATAAAATATGTCGAAGACAAGTTAAGTTAATCTTGACCAAATTCTATGGATATTTCTGGAAGAGTTTACTTTATGTCAACAGAGAAAACTGCTTTATTGTACCACGTGTACATTGTGTGTTCTCAATATCTTCTGTGGCCACTACCTGGCTTCATCGTCCGATGGAACCAAACAAATTTCGAACTGTATCAGTATATCCTACATTGTTTATATCGGGTGTTAGACATTCTCAGTGGCAGTCACCTACTGTGCTTCCCGTAATGTCCTATAATAAATACGAATGCACATACAGCATAACCCAAGTCAGACCTAAATTTCTCCTCATAGTGAATCTTGCTTCTGACAAGTCCGTACGAGTGTGAATTTGAAACTTTTTTTTACATGATTTGATCCGTTCATGCCAGAACTGAAGCTCGAACAAGCGTGTTTGCAATGTCATTTCCAAAAATATGTAAGATTGGTACCCACATCAAGTGTTGCTCATTCTTTGTCTTTCAGTGACCTGAGTTTCAGTGACCTGTAAATTATGAAATCTCTGAGGAGATAGAAAATAATTCTTTGACTGATTAAGTACTTGTTCAACTGTTCAATCGCACTCTCTGAGCAGTCACACGTCCTTCAATTTCATATTGAATACAAAACAACAATATATATACAAATGTTCTGATTTTTGCCAATAGGCGAAAGCTTTGGTGAGTATTTGTAGCTCCTCGTTTTACTCATTTGAAGGTCACAATCGCCAACATCCAAAGGGACGATGTAAATCTAGCTCGAATCCATGCAGGCAACAAAGGTATTGTGCGTCTCCATGGTCCATAGTATAGTGATCTACCGTCAGTTGCTGGCGATCTACAGTCCATTGTTATATTGTGTTGTGCACAGAAAAAAAACCCAAAACTACTTGCTAGTTTTAGGTTCTATATCTGTGATATTCTAGTTGATTTACCGTCCTTTGTTAACGGAATAGGTGCCATTAGTGGGACAGGGTGAGCCCACATTTTCTGAAAATGATGTAAAGGGCAAGCTGCTCAAATTCTGAACTTATTTATTCCATGAAAATACAACCGCGTTGGTACAATTTGGTATAGACCAAAGGGAATAGAGGTGTTTTGTGTAACATATGACCGACTATAGGTAATCCAGATGTGTGTAGAGGAAGTGGACACATCTTCTCATTTATCGTTAACACATACGTTTTACAGTAACATCTGAATATGTAAGGCTATGGAACAATGTTTTCAGCTCTTATCATCTGGAGGTGTGATGCTACTGTGAAAGATGAGTCTCGAGGAAGTGGAGAAGTCTTCTCCAGGCGTCCTCCTGGGCTGCAGCATGAGCTTCAGTTTGTCCTCCCATCACCATTTTCATGCCTGTTAGGGGAAACACATTCTCGATGAATTAAATAACCTAAAATACAGCAAAAGTTGAAGAATATTTCATCATTTGAATATCAAAACATGCTCAGATAATGCCGACATTTAATACTAAATAACATAATCAACACTATCACAATGAACGATAAGGATGGTGTTTTGTGTATTTGTCGAAGGACTGTTCTCATGCCTGTTGAGTGAAACACATACTCGATGAACTAAAATGACCTAATATACAGCAAGAGTTGAAGAATATTTCATATAGATATAAATAAAATATGAAACATATGCACGTTGAAACATATAACCGCTGACCCGTTCAGTTGTAAATTATATTTAAAACCATTATAATTCCGTTATACTACCTCTCATTTTTCGTAAAAGCAGCTATTCAGCTTTATACAGTGCCACTGCAGACGACAAGGAAAAGCTTAAATAATATATCCATGGATCATTTGTCACTAATTATGATGAGATAGATTAAGTTACACTCTCTGTCTTCAAAGGTTCAGGACACATAATGTAAAAGTCATCTGAGGTTCAGTGAGAAAACAATATCTGAATGCTGGAGAGTATCAGTGATACCTAACTGTCATTCTTAACATAGTTGACTAACAAGCCATGACTAGCTGTGTTGCCCGATGTTGCGTATATGGTCTTTATGCATATGAAACCAAAACCAAAATCAATGTTCAACTTCTGGTGTATTGATGATCTGATATTGTTCAATACGTCCAAAAAGACAATTCCCCGCCGTGGATTTACCCAACTAGCCCAGAAATAAAAGAGAAGAGAAAAGTGAAACTGTCTATTTTGTTTCATATTTAGGTATATGCATAAAGATTCCGTCCAACAAAAAATGCGGCTTGATAATACAGAGGTTTACAACCTTCCAATGGTCAGCTTTCTCTCTACGGGGAGCAATATCCCTGCATCGTCCCGTTTTTGTTATCTACATATCCGTGAAGGTCCGGGTTACAATTGGGCTTTAGTTACCCGGCTTGTCGTAAGAACCGATTTGATTGATGCTTGCAATCGTATCTCAATTGCGTAGAATTGATTATGTGGTCAAAACTGGATTGTCTGGTCCGGATTCGATTGCAAACAAATAGCTGAAATATTACTGACTTAATGAAAATACTCACCGAGGGCTTTGTTATTCAAGGATGTAGACACAGGCATATATGGTGGCTCGATTAGATGTCCTGCTCCTGGATAGACGATGAGCTCAATGTTCTTCCTCTTTTCTTCAGGACATGTCACAATAAATGTATTAGCAAAGTCAGTTCTCCATACGCTATCGTCTTCACCACACAAGTATAAGATCTTGGCATTATTCGTCCAGGCCTGGAAGGGCATTAAAATCAAGTCATGATGTAGCTGTATCTGATATTGAGGTGGACAGAACATTTTAAGACTGGAGGGAAATTTATGAATGTGACAAGTATCCATTTACAATCCTAACGCAAAAATTGTTCTTTTTATGAAGGCCACGAGTGAGTGATTAAGCTGACCAAAAGACACACCTCTTAAGTTATGACAGAAGTGATGGAATTCATGTCAAAAGATTGTAGCAGATAACATGCACCCCTGATACAAATATAAACTGTTCAAGATACATTAATGTCACAGGGTGAATAAGTAAGTAAGTAAGTAAGTACTAACCGGAATGATTTCAGTATCATAGTGACAGCTGTCTTTCATAGCAACACCTTCATCCGTATGTATCAGTTTACTTTCATTTAACCTGACGATGAAATGAATGAATGTTGGTTTCAACGTCCATCGCAATTGTTCCCGAATGAACACATACACAGTGTTCAAGGAGGTTAAAATAATTAAGATGCAAATGCTCACTAATCATGAAGGTAAAAACGTAAAAGGACATATGATGTGTGTGGATCCTGGTGAACATATGTTCCAAGCGCTACCTGAGGGAAGTTGACCTGTATCATAAATTGTAACTTTGTAAAGAGAATAACGAATTGCTTGCTTTTGTATCTGGTGCTATGACGCTTTCTGTTTTTAAATATAAATGTAATGAAAATATATGTTTTTAAAATATAATTCTTTTGGACCTTGGACTTAAAATGGTAATGAATGGAAATTTGATCTCGTCACTATATGGCTGGAATAATGCCGATGTGACGTAAAGCCCAACTCAACTCAATTTGTCGCAAACGAAAACATACACAGTCTTCAAGGAGATTAACATAATTAAAATGCAAATGCTGACTAATCATGAAGGTGAAAACGTAAAAGGACTTTTGTGTGGATCCTGGTGATCATATGTTCCCAGCGCTCTTTGTTCAAGGGACAACTAAATAGGACCAGGTGAATTAGTTGATCGCTTGAAGCAATTACGAATTTGCAGCAAAGCCCTTTCCCACAAGCTTTTAAGAAGTGTCAAACGGTACTTTCGCAACAGTTGTTTTATCAAGGTCATAACGTTTAACCCTTAAAAAAACTTTCAAAAAAGTGCAATGGTAGTGATATTTCAGAGTTACAAGTAATGTTTGGTGCACTTCCCATTTTTGACTTGAAACATATGTAGCTGTGGAGAACTCTTGACATTTTGGAAAACATTTACCTTTAATGCGTTATGGAAACTTAATCGCCAGCAACCGCAGCTTCCCCAAAAATGGAGGTTGGGTTAAATTGCTGACTATATATGCTGGAGATTAAGTGCTAAATCTGAGAGTGTAGGTTGGAATCCCGGACGGGGCTCAACCAAATAAAGTACCTTATCCGTACTTTACGGAGAAAGTGTAATCCCAAATATAACATATGCTATAACTCATTGCAAGTAATGCACAGATCATTTAAATGAGTCTTTGTTAAGTTGAAGAGTGCTGTTGTTTAGTCGTAATTTGCAAAATCTCAGAGATGCACATGTAAGTAAAGATAATGGATTATGTTCATATTCGCCGTCAAAAAGCGTTAATACCATTCAAAACCCTCGTCAAAATAGAACAGTTAGCATTATATTTTTAATGCTATGGAAAAATGTTAATAAATACAATTATTTTCAATTATAAACTACAAATTACAAAGCCATATAAATACTTACTTAAATCCTTCCCGAAAAGCTTTTCCAGACTTGTATAAATCATCAAGTGAATACACCGGGACACCACTTATATTCACCAGAGCCTTCACCTATTGAGGAAATTGACGAAATATTTACATTGCCCGTCCGTACCTGTTAATTTTCGGAAACCTGACTCTGAGAAATCATCCTTTATATGTTTTCGATCTCAAGACACTATTAGACTCATAATTTGTTATAGAGTGTGAAAACCCGTTCACCTGATCCGTGAATGTAAGTTCGGAAAACTGAAAAAAGAGAGATCATAATTTATTTTTTCATCTCAAACTTTATAAGTGAAAAGTGATTAAGATTGATTCAGTGTTGAATCCCGCTCACTTGATCAGTTGACATGCCAAGCAGGAAGGCCAATTCACCTCCCTTGGACGTACCGACCACTCCAATACCTCCAGGCTGGACACTGGGATGAGACGCCAGCCAGTCTACAGCATTCTGAACAAAATGTTGACATAAATATGCCACAGGAACATCACATATTGTGCACCGGTTGATGTCTTAACAGCTTCAATTTCTTGAAAACTCAACATACCTGTGAATTATAACAAAACACATGTTATAATTGTCAGAAAGGGTGAGTCTCCTCACATTTGAGTTGAGTTGAGTTGGGCTTTACGTAACATCGGCATTATTCCATCCATATAGTGACGAGAACAAATTTGCATTAATAAACATTGTCAGTACAGAGTCAGAATGAGTTTTATTTCAAAGAAAATATATTCATTACATAGTCATTTAAAAACGGAAAGAGTCATAGCACCAAAATTAAAAGCAGGCAATTTGTTAGTCACATTAAACAGTTACAATTTATGATACAGATCAACTTCCCTCAGCTAGTTCACTATCAGATGAGCGCTCACGCGGGAGAACAGATCTTTCAGATTTGCTGCATCATAATGTGAGTCCCTTGCAGACGACAAGTCCACACAGTCAAGCAGAATATGCTTCATGGTGAACACTTCATCGCAAGAGACACACATGGGGGGTCCATCCCCATCCGTCTTCAGCAGATAGTCATGTGTAAACCGACTGTGGCCAATACTAGGAAAAGTTAGGGTCGAAGTGGTGTGTTGGATTATTGAACATTATTGTCGGTTCCGTCATCCTCAACCACCAGACTCCTTTCCTCTGCCGACACAGGGACGCAACCCACGGCAAACGGGTTGCCCAAATTGGTCGTCTCTTACAACCAGCAATGGGGTGCTGTGGACCTATTCGACCCAAAGGGTGCCCTCCTCACAGACAATGGTAGTTTTAGCGTCTCTTTTAGTTAAGAGCGTCTCAAATTATGAAGTTTTAAACTGTCGTAAAAGCAATGCTAAATGTCAAACACATACTTTGCCTATTTCCCGTAACATATGTGTCTTCCAATACAAAATGCTAACTACAACTATCTTTAACATAATGAATATCTGGGGTAAAAGGTCCATTGCGAGTTCAGATAAAACTATTAAAACATGCAGTTGTATCACACTATTCAGCATTTAATCAACACTCACTGAACATAAAAGAGCATTACAACAAATCGCATGTTATACGTCTGGCATGATGTGTGAGGGACCCTTAGCACATGACGTTTTATAGACGTCACGTGACTTGCCCCAACTGCAATTTCAGGGACTGCCTAAAGGTAAGATTTGTTTCAGCCAACCTCAGTTAACGTGCTAGTAAAGAATGGTGAACAGTTAGAGAATAATCCTTGACTGATGAATAACAGTCTAGCCATTTGTATTACATATGACCCAAAATTACCCATTAAACATAGCCAGTATGTAACAACTTACCAGAAAGTAATCAAAGTCAATATCAGCTAGTGAAGTCGGCAGGTCATCATATCTAAAGTAGGCAAGAGCAAAGCAAGCAAAGCCTCTGGAAGCCAGTAATGCAGCACGGAACTCTGTCACACCTTCCCGCTGCGCCAAACATGTCGAGCACTGCAGGAAATGGCCCTTCACCTGTGTAAAATTAATTAAGGGGTTCTAATTGATGTAAACTCTTTCAAACAATTAATCATGATTGAGATAGGAATGTTTCCAATAATTCAGGTATTATGATACAACTTAAAACAATATTACACATAAATATAGCTTAACTGGAATGATGTGGGCCTTACCCTCAGGCAAAAACACAGTTCCTCTCAGGGAACCTTCACGAACGACAGTACTTTTCACGCTACTGTGTTTGTACCATCGTTCTAACACGCTTGTGGCCAATACCACTGGTGTTGACAGCCGGAGGTCATCGAAGGGAACGTGGTCATCTAGGACTGACAGTCTGAAGACCAGAGGTGTTGTAACATCTATCTTTCTGAGAAGCGACGCCTTAGATATTCCTGGAACGGGCTTCAGACTCCAGAACAGTCCCATGCTGTCAACACCTGAATATAGAAACATATAAGCGATGGTGTATTTGAGTGAAGGAATTGTAATGATCTGTGGATTTGTAACCCAAAGTGAATTATCTTGGCTACAAAACGACAACATGTACAGTGAGAGGTGCTGTCAACACTTCTTGTACAGCTCATCCTAATGTATGTTCATCCACAGGTTCAGCTTTGTAAGGCTCATGGTGGCTTTGCATAATATACTCAGCAGCAAAAATAACGTCAGTACGAATTTAAAATTAGATAGGCACTGTAATCAAATCATTACAGAAATGGACATTATAAGCGGATCAAAACAATTTTTGTGTACAATATCTTGACACATCAATGAATAACTCAGCAGAATTTCAAGACATTACGTGAACGTTTGCAGTCCATTCAGACCCTTGACTTCAATATCTAGTGTGACCACCACCAGGGGCAATAACTGCAGCACAGCGTCTATGCATGGAGTGCACCAATCGATTGATGAAGGCCATTGGCACCTTGAACCACACTCTGAGAAAGGCCTGGCGCAATAAATAGGCTGTGTTCGGCCTTGGTATGACATTATTCAGTCTCCTCTGAATTTCATCCCAAAGATGTTCAATTTGGTTTCAATCAAGACTAAGGGCTGGCCACTGCATAATGTTGACACCCTTCTGCTGTAGGAAGTCCCGTGTAGCTCTGGCAGTATGGGCCCAGGTGTTATCATGCTGGAAAAAGCGCCTGTTGTTCCGGTGGCGTGCGGAATGTGGGGGCTGAGGGTCTGAGAGCTTGGTCGATGTAGCGCACCGCTGTGATGCCGCTCCTCTCCCTGGACCAAGGTTCTGAAACACCACAGGACCCACTCCCTGGTTCAGGCCTATTCCACCCCATACCATGATGCTTGCACCTCCCCATGAGTCTCTTTCCATAACACATTAGTCTGAGTAACGCTGGCCACGTCGTCGCCATATTCTTGTTCTGCCATCTGCAGTTGATACGCAGTACTGATTCTCATCTGTGAACAGAACAGTTCTCCATTGCCTGTATTGCCAGTTTTGGTGTGGTAGGGCAAACTGTAGACGTTCATGCCGATGACGAGGGGTGAGGATAGGTCCATGGTAAGGTCTACGGCAATGGAGGTTCCCGCTGTTAAGACGTCGGCGTACTGTATCAGTACTGATTGGTCTTCCGTGTGTTCCCACTGTCTGGCGTGCTGTTTCGGATGCCTGCATGAAGGGATTCTGTACATGCTGTCGCACAACATGGCGGTCTTGTCGTCTTGTGGTCACCCTTGGTCTGCCAGTACGGGGGCAATCATTTGTGGTGTTGGTGGCCCGGAAACGTTGCTGCAGCCTGTAGATGGTCCGAACGTTGACCTGGAAGTGATTGGCAATGGCTTGTGCAGTGTGGCCAGCTTCAAGACTTCCTAGCGCCTGGTTCCTCTTAGTCGTGAGTCGCGGCATCCTGCTGACGTTGTAATGTGAATGTTTCAACCAGGTTTGGGGTGCATTTTATAGGGCTGGTCCTTGTGAACAGCATGTGCAGCATGAGTTGCATGAAAACACGGAGAACATCGTACCATCTCCGAGATCAGGTTGCGTTTTTGAGACCATTTCCTAGGTTCCATTCTGAGTTTGGGAAGGAATGTCTTTGCTCAGATAGAGTGGGAGATGTTGTCAAAACCATACAGTCAAAACATTAAATGAGTTTACATTTAACCGTTTCTGCGAAGGAAAATTCCACACTGTCGTTTCTTTTGCTGCTTAGTATATATGTCAAAGTGTCAGTGTTTATTATTCAATATTTACTCGAGATAAAATAGATAAGTTCGTAGACGAAATGTGCATTATCTCAGTCTTTTTGGATGAATCGTTTACAGTCGTTTATTTTGAAAAGAAAATATCTGAGACTATGCTCACAGCTGTGTGGTTGATTAAACTTATTTGTTGAGTCCCAACCTCTGACTACCCAGTTCCACCTGTCATTATCATTAGAACAAAACTCAACTCACCCCTGGAAACATGATAAAAATTTTACTGAGTATGACTATTGGAAAGACTGCCAAAGATTGACAGTATCCTTAAGTATGTGCTTGAATAAAACCAATCCACCAATCCCGAGGCCCCAGCCACTATTTCCATGCCGAACACGATAGGTGCGGCCACGATCGTCGACAATAACCCGATCCCAGCCGCACCGAGTCCCATGCTGGCTGCCACGAGGACAGTGGCTTTACGTCACATTGGCATTATTCCAGCCATATTGTTTGTGACGATTATCATTATCATTTTAAGTACAAGGTCCAAATGGGTTATATTTTTTTACTTCGCTTATGTATATATATACATTACATTTTATTTAAAACAGAAAATGTCATAGCACTAAATACAAAAATATACTTAAGCAATTCGTTATTCTCTTTACAAAGTTACAATTTATGATACAGGTCAACTTCCTTCAGGAGATGTCCGCTCACGCGGGGAAAGGACATCTTTAGATTTCTTGCATCATAATGTGAATCCCTTTGTAGTAGAAAAGTCCACACAGGCAAGCAGAATATGCTATGATGGTGAACACTTCATCGCAAGAGAGACACATGGGAGGTCCATCCCCATCTGTTTTCAGCAGATAGTCATGAGTAAACCGACTGTGGCCAATACGACATCTACGAAAATCACCTCATCACGTCTTGACTGACAACTCAAGGAGGTATAACCAATTGTTGGTTTCAATTCATGAAGTTTATTTCTTCCTACTTGGGTGTCCCACCTTTTTTGCATGAGGTCCCGAGTATAGCGTTTGATAGTGGGTTTGAAATCACTGTATGAGCTGTTTTAGCTTCAGCATCGGCCTGCTTTGCCGAAATGGCCAGGCAACCGGCAGAGGATGATGTCGCATTGGCCAGTAGAAAGATCATTGTAAAGTTCCAAGATGTCTAGGATGATAGGGTGACTTGAAGTAACATTTTGAAGTGCTTGAAGGCAAGACAATGAATCGGTAAAAATGATGAAGTTTTTGGATGGTTCTGTTGTTTAATATAGGTCAAAGCTGTGACGATAGCTTTAGCCTCAGCAGTGAAAATGGAACTATTGTCAGGAATTCTAGAGGAGACAGTCTTGGATCCAATGACTGTAGCACTGGCAACTTGGCCCTCATCCTTGGATCCGTCTGGATCTATGGGTGTTATACTTGGAGCGTAACTGGTTGTATTCCTGTTGGAACACCAAAGGATTTGAGTTTGGTGAGGGTAAGATCCACCTGTGCCGTAATCTAGTTTAGAGCGAACCAAAGATCTGTACAAGTGAAGTAGGGTAGTTTGATCCCCTCCCCACTCTGTATTTGAAACGACTTTTAGCAAGTCAAGAGCCTTCAAGCACTTTGTCTTCAAATATTTTATGTTTGGTAAGAATGTCAAGTGGTGGTCGAATATGAAAGCCCAGGAGCCTTGGTGAATTTGGCCTCTTCTACTACCTTGAGAGGGGGTAGTACCATCTAAGGATAGATCTGGATCCTTTGTGTGGTTTGTATTTACGACAAAAAGTGAATACAAATTTGTTTTGGATTTTGAAAACTTAAAGCCATTTTCATTGGCCCATATTTGATTTTGTTAAGGCAGAGTTGAAGCTGCCTTTCTATTGCGCGCATGTTCTTTCCACGACATGAAATATTGAAATCATCCCCGAAAAGGGACCCATCAACACAGCTGTTAATATACTTAAGGCTGATAAAGTTTAGATTTTCGTATAAATAAACTGTTCGATTCCCCACATGGGCACAATGTGTTAAGCCCATTTCTGGTGTCCCCCGCCGTGATATTGCTGGAATATTGCTAAAAGTGGCGTAAAACTAAACTCAGTCAGTCAGTCAGTATAAATAAACACCAAAGAGATTAATGGGCTGCAGTACGTTTATATTAACATGAATCCCATCCAGTCTTGTTAAGGGGATTGATCCCAGCCGTATATAAATACGGCAACGTTGATGTTTATGTTCATCACCCCAGCATATTGGTAACTCATTCAAAAGTAACAGATCTTCTGAGGGAGCATCTACAAGATAAACTTCTATTATAAGTGTGGCGTGTAATTTTATAGCTATAGTTGGATAAAAAAATTCAGTTGGTTGGTAATCTGGTATGCTGGATGCCAAAAATGCATTATGGTCAGTGGGGGCTAACATATTGCCTGTATGACCCGGTATTAAAAAACTTGCATCGTATTATCATGTTGCGGAGTAATCCCGTTATTCATTACCTCGGAGACATAACTATTTCTTTGAAATATATTGGGGGAGACGAGGGTAATATCAGTTAAACAGTCGATTTTGGGTTATTTGATCAACATCTATTTATCGTCGGTGGGTACAAGATTGTACAAGGTGTTTTGGAGAGTCCCTCAATCTCGACCTAGTTGAAATCTTCTAGTTTTACTTCTTGTCGTTTTGTACACGTTGTTTTTAAGTGCAAGGCGTATAACGTGTCTTCGGCACTGGGTTTATCAGTCCTTGCATGTCCCTCGAGATCGGAGAGCGCAATGGCAGCGCATTTTGTCATGTGATTTTGCCTGAAACGTCACCCATTATAATAGTTTACGAAATAGTCTTCAGTTTATTTTCCTTCAATCTCTAGCGTAAACGTTAAGCTTATTAGATGTATATTCGTGGGTAAGAACATTTTGGTGAGCGTATTTTTTTCTCCAAGGTAACAGTGACCCCCTCGAGGCTCGCGTAAGTTGTTGTTGTCTCTCTGTACGTAAATCTCACAAACGTCATGTTGATGTTGTTTAGCCCAAAGGAGTTTAACTCCCTTCACGATTTCATCTTCAAAGGATCAAAAGCAAAACCCGGCAGAAATCGCTTCAAGCATGGAAAACCCAAAGCAATGATGAAACCCCAATCTACACATAAAACTACAAGGCAACGGACTAGGGATCTACATCATTGACAACACCTGAGACTATCCGGTGTCATAGACCGCAAACAGCTCATGCAATTCCTCTTCAGCCAACATGGATTTGTTGAACAAGGTGATCTTGTGGAAGCTATCGAAAGTGGAAAACCCACCATCCTGGACAACACCCACCTGGTTGGCAACCATGTTTGCATGTGGGTAGAGACAACAAAAAGTCCGGCAAAACGATGCGCACCAAGCTGTACAGGAAAGTCATTCGCAACTTCGTAGCTGGAAAAGTCCAAGAACCGATTTGCGGCCATCTTGCCCAATACCAAGATTGTCCAATGAGCATCTCCGCAAAACCTTTCCTCCACCCAGGCGTACAACGTCGTTGCACTCGTATCGAAGTTTCTCTGTACGCATGCCAAGACGACCACAGGCCAAACACCTGAGTGGAAAACATGATGCAAGATGTATTGGAATGGGTGTCGCCCACCGATTATTGTCTATTTGTCATCCAACCACCAGCAACGCAGTGGCTTTATCTCACAGAAAAGATGGACAGCTGTCTGGTCCTAGATGTCCGTCCACAGCAAACTATTTTCCTCACGTGGTACTCACTTTCGAAAACGGGTTGAGAGTTTAGAGTACACATTTGTCCCACCGGCACAGAATCCTGGGAAAAACATTGATTGGGTCATAGAAGACGTCGGTTTTTAAGGGTTTCAATATTCCACGTGTACATCCAATGCCAAACATGGCCACCAGTCACAAAATTTCTACTATGTCTACACAAACGCAAGGAAACTAACCTTCCAAGGAAATTGCTGCAGTTACTAGAGTCCGAGAAGGTATAAAAATTGACGGCGAAGAGCTGAGAAGGCACTACAAAAGGAAATACAAATCCGGGAAGAACGAGCAGAACTACGGAAAAAAGAGTTCAAACCTCTGCATGACAGTTTCGCATAAGCCTCAGCATATATATAAAAAAAAACGAGGGCAATCCAAACTGCTTGTGGAAATAAACTCTCTGCAATACGGATACAAACAAAGTAGGGGCAATATCCGGCTGATACGGCATTCTCATGATGGGTGAGCTGGCTAAGACACCATGCAAGTAATCCAGCAGGCATGAGGTGTGGGGATCGAGCCCACCTGTAGACCGGGTGTAAAACCTTGGAGAAGGCTAGAATCGTACAAATAGAAACTCCACCGCTAGAAGTACAAGTCCACAGACTGTTTCCATAGCCAACAGGAAACATTCTAGTCTTCTCCCAATTGTATAGTATTCTAGATAGATCCCTCGACAATTTGCCTAGTGCACGGATGCACGATCGTGGGCTTGGTTTTGCAAAGGGCGAATGGCATCCTATACCAGTCTAGAACCATGTAACATGTTATTTTGGGATTACACTTTCTCAGTAAAGTACAGATTCTAGTACTTTATTTGGGTTGAGCCCCATCCGGGATTCGAACCCACACCCTCAGAGTCAGGCACCTAATCGCCAGCACTCAAAGTCAGACGCCTAAACCGCTCAGCCACCACGGCTACACAAGGTCCGCAGTCAAGACTACCAGTTTTCCGACTTCTATTTTGTCCTACATTTGACCACTTTCTAAAATGGCATTGTATTTTTCACAGTCTAGAACCATTTTCGTATTGCAATTGCTTTTTGTGGAATTTATGGTACAGAAAGTATGGTGCATGCGCGCCTGAATACACCAAATGCATGGCACTACTATAATTATGTCTAAAGAAACGTAGCTGCACTTCTCCCAATTTTTCTGCCCGGGGTATTTTTCTCTACTACTCCATGTCGAAGGGGTGCCTAGGTTAAGGCGTTTCTGTCTTCTCTTCAACCAGTGTGCTGGTTGATGTGTGGGATTTTGCTAGAAGTTTGCTTGGATTTGCTTGAAGTTTGCTTGGATTTTTCCAGTTCTGTACAGAATTTTTCCTGGGTTTCCTGGAAGATGATGTGGAAACATGTGGGAAAAAATAGGTTTCCTTGTATAGACATGTCAGAAAATGGGATTTCATATAGACATGTGGAAGTATGGTGTATATATACCATGCCACCAAAAGGAGATCAGACCAGATCCAAAAATCTGCACCCTTCGTAGAGTGTTCCTGGCAACTGAGGTAAGAAAGTGCTTTTGCATCGGGTCCAAAAGGCTCTATGAACAAAGGCGAGACACAAGCCCAAATTCTGACGCATTGGTTGTTGCTACAGAACCCCGTTGGACACACTGTTGCCTGCCTGGGAAGTAGCTCCAAAGTCGCCCTCCAGCACAACTGCCGCAGAACCATCGACACTCTTGCCTAATCCAATTTCGACCAATCATGACTTCTACGACCGCATGCGTATTTGTGTGAGGAAATAGAAAGCACAGAGGCAATTGCGCAAGAGGTGCAGGAGGAACAAGAAGAGACCCGTCTGGACATCCAGAAGGTGGGCCAGATCCTAGAATCGGCCCAAAAGTGGACCAACCTTTCGCTAGCCACCGAGTTTGTCTGGAATTTCGTGTGGACGACCAGGAAACACTGCACACCGGCCAACACGCAGGCAGACGAGAATACACAAACGGCCAACCAGTTTGCACGGCCAAACCCCAGAGCCCTTCTACATGGAGTAGAAAAACAAATATATGTGTTTTCGTATGTATGTTTGCATGTATGTTTTTCCCCTGGAGGATATGGCTCCAGCTTAGGTGGGTGCTCTCCACCAGTGGCATGTGTGTACTTGTGTTTGGACTACTTTCTTCGTGGATTGGACTATTTTCTGTACAAAATAAGGTAGTACCAATCCTGGTAGTCTTGTGCCATTTTTTTTTTGTATACCTGTCTTGGTGTCGGGTCTAAAAATGGGTTTGTGGTTGCTGAAAATGGGTTGCCCTAGCGAAAATGAGATTCTTACAACTACTTAAGCATACGGGCACAGATGTATTGAAGGAAAGTGAGTGAGTGAGTTTAGTTTTATGCCGCACTTAGCAATATTCCAGCTATATGTCGGCAGTCTGTAAATAATCGAGGCTGGACCAGACAATCCAGTGATCAACAGCATGAGAATCGATCTGCGCAATTTGGAACCAATGACACGTGTCAACCAAGCCAGCGAGCCTGACCACCCGTTCCCGTTAGTCGCCTGTTACGACAAGCATGGATTACTGAAGGTTCATTCTAACATGGACCTTCACGGGTATTATAAAAGGAGAAATATGAATAAAACAATATAATGGATAAGATTTACTACCGCCCGCGGGGGTAATTGCTGGGGAAGGTGCTGGTGCTATCCGCAAGCTTGCCGAAGCCATGAAGGCCTCCGAAGAGACCGCTAAGGCTTGGTTGATGAAACAAGCTCTGTGGCAAATGTAAAAGTCATAGCTGCAATCAACCATGAAATCACTCGATTGATTGACAAAAACGGCTGATGCCATTAAATTGAAATCGGTGACTACCGAATCGTCTGCACCACTAAGTATTAAAAAAGAGAAGAAACTGTATGACCGAGTCGTCGTGAGGTACGCACAACCAAACCGTGTGCTCCAACAAAACGTATAGTATCGATCGGGTGGATATGAAAGATAATAAATCAAATTTGTATTACCTGAAGGATGGACCAGGTCGAGGATTCGTGATTACTTATCAGACCCGCGACACAGTGTTACCGCAAGCAAACTCCAAGTGAATCCGATAAAATCCAAGATACAAGGTTCTTTACCGAAATTGTGAACGATTCATGGGGACATTGAACGATGGTTCTCGTCCGATAGCATTATATTTTACCACCGCTTAGTCCTTAATTAACGAAAATAGCGCCGTCGTAGTAATGTAATGTAGAACCGTTATGATGTATACTACTTCAGTTCATCAATATTGTCATCACCTGGAACTATTTTTACATAGCTGTTGAGCAGAAGTAGCATCCCTGATTTGAAACAAAGAGTTATCAGTAGAGGTCATCGTGAAAGTTTGTGCAATGTCTATCGGAGGTCGATCGTGTAGATGTAAATTAATATACCTGTTCATTCGTGTCTAAAACTTTCTATCATAACGTCTATGAGGGTGCTTTGTGTTAATGACCGAGCCATATTTGCATACCTCTGTACGTTCCACCTAGAGAAGCATGTTGAGAAACGTTGACCTGTCCCTGTTGGTCTGTCAGAAAATGGGCACATGAGTTGAACACTACCTTTCCTTCTTCCACCCGTAACAGTATCGTCACTCGCTGTTGTGGACGAAGACTGTTGACAGTGATGGAGACCTTTTCGTCAACAAGTGCCACACGAGGGTTGACATTAAGACACACCATGCTGGAATATCTCTGGCTTTGACTGGCGATGAGCCCTGATATTGCTTTTAATGTTACACTTTCCCCGCAAAGCAAACATCACACCTGCATAAGGAGCAACGTGACAACACATTGGTTAATAGCATATTAATATTATAGAATATAGTTGAAAGTATGAGAAAATCATGCATATGTACCATGGCAGGCTAAAACAGGAATAATATGTAGTTATAAATTTTATTATTTTACAAAACTTACCTAGGTTTAAACACGTCAAATGTAGTCCCATGTACTTAAATACAAAATCAAACTAGTAAAACTGAAATCACAAAACGTTTATGGGCATTATCATTAATCATTAGAATGCCATATAACTATTTTGCATCTACTCAAACTGTTGTGACGTCGGTGACGTTATCGTTTGATGCATTTAAGACGGAATACGCTTTGCACGTCAACATTTTTCTCTACTCTCTGGTTGAAAATTTACGTTACTTTATAACGTTCCTATAAGGACCTTTCTTTGCTATAGCTGCCGTTTTGACATAACGAGGTAAGACCATTTAAGCATGTAACGTCAAAGCAAGAGAGGAGTAAATCGCGACTCCACTCAAAAAGGAGCTTAACTCAACACATGGACCATTGGAAAACAGAGATGACACCAGTTTGCTGGTCTGCAGAGAGTAACCCTCACTCACACGTTCTGTGCAAGTACCAAACCGTGGTCTATGAAATGTGTCTTGTATACGTGCTGTTGGGAACGATCGTAACGAACCATTTTAACACAATTCTCAACTTACACTTTTTCAAGACACCTAATTAATACACTAACGGTTGCCGCAAATATATCCACGATCGTTTTCTTTGATATTATCAAAGTAAACTAATCAGAACAGAGACTGATTTAAAGCACTGTGAACAGAAACCACAACGGAACTTTCAGGTTGTCTACCTTCTGCCTGCTATTTATCTGTAAAGGTTGGCAGCCAAAGGTGTAATTCTACTTCAGGTAAATAAATATTCAGAAGGCAAAAAACTGACAGTAAAATGGATTTTGTGGAATTAAATGAAGCAGATGTCCTGTCACATATGACACATCATCCAGTTTTAAAATTGCTTCTGCTTTCTAATATGTGCTGATTGTATTGTTTTGGTAGCAGTCATTTGTATAGTGTTTGCTGGACATATCCTTGATGGTAATGATCGCAACCAATTTGCAGCATTGGTCATGTCTGGACGTAAACCTCACTTCCTGAAACAATAATCCCACGAATTTCTCAAGTGTAAACTCACAGTACAAAAGGTTTATACATGCTTCTGAGCACCATAAATTTTCGATGTTATTTCTGCAGATAACAGCTGAACCTCGCCATGCTGTTATAATTCTTGGTCACATTTTATCCTTAGTCAATCGCAATGCCTCATATAGATAGTGAGTGAGTGAGTTAAAATGTCATTATGGCAACATTTCATCCATATTGCGACTGTAACAACAGTAAAGATTAGGAAAACAAAAATCAGAGTATATAAAATCTGTCACCAGAGGATATGAAGTAACATGCAATACTGGTTCCTGACGCATATCGAGCTCCCATTGACCTGGCATGTGCCCCTGAGTTGCTTGAGGTAATGAATGTCCTGCTTGCTGAAGGAAACCGACGAGCTATTGCTGGTTTGCTTGGCGGAGGGCGGTTGTGACCTCCAAAATTGCCGCCACACACCTTTATCCATTATCTAACCTATGGTATAGATGTGCAAATGGAAGCCCCCTCAAGAACAAAAATAACAAGAATAGCACCTGTTGGTAAAATATGAGCCACCTTGATTTACCTCAACACATGTTCCTGTTCACTGGTGCCACTGACGCTTGTCGGGGCAAAATGATATATGTTCTATGTTTGGTCGTTACACGAAGTGTGGTGGTGACAAAAATTCTTGTGAGTCATTTTGGAACATTAATTAAACCGCCATGACTTATTATCACGCAACAGTTGTTAGTGTTGGAAATGGAATTGGCTTAACCTCATCAGATAGCAAGAGGAGACCATAGGTTTCACGTTCCACAAAAAGAGCTACGGTAATGAACACGTTACATGCCCTCTTTTAAGTTCTGTATACTCTAGCAGAGGAATGTCATGTCTACCAGCTGTAACTCTTTTGCATTAGTCACATTCCTTTCAAAATCATCTAGAACCAGCTTTCTATTCCCTCCTGTTGTCAAATTTGCCATGTCAACAAAGGACACCAGGAGATAACTTTGATGTAGTAAGGTTCATTCTTACGCCTACAAGAATTGTCTCCCATATTGAGTACCTTACTACATAACGTAACACCTATTTTGAAATTCTATTATCAGTATTAGGAAGCAAAGATTTTCTAAATAATTTATGGGGATACTATATTATCATGCAACAATTGTTAGTATTGGTAATGGAATTCTCTTTAGCCTCGTCTGATAACACGAGGACACCATAGGTTCAACAAAAGAGCTATGGTAATGAACATGTTACATGCCCACTTTTCCATAAAGCACCACAATACTCTTATCACCATGCTGCAATACAGGTTATTTTCAAGCGCAACATGTAGCTGCCTTGAAAAACGTTTTCCTGACATAGGAAAAGCATACTTGACATTGTCAGCCGTGAGATATACAATATTACTTTAGTCTAGCATCAGGCTTTGTCATCATCCATCTTGCCACATGTATGCAAACTGTGAGATATACAATTTTACCATTTAGTCTAGCACTAGGCTTTGTCATCAGCCATTTTGCCATAATATATGCTAACTGTGTGATATACAATAGTCTTTTATATTTTCAGAATAGATTTAAACAAACATTTGTACAAGTACGTTTAGGTCGTCAGCAACGGTCAAAACCAATTCCAGCATGGCTTGTCTCAACATCAGACCAGTTGAGGCACTGATCGACGAGAGAATTTCTATCACAGTGAATGGTCTTCGTCCACTACAGCGTGTGACAGTGCAAGCACTTGTTGCAGAAGGAAGCAGTGTTTAGCTCCTGTGCACATTTCCAAGCAGACAAAGACGGACAAGTCGATATTACCCAACAAGCTTCTTTGGGAGGAACATACAAAGGTAAATCAGTGTGAACAACATTCTCGATAAAGACTCAAATAACACATCAACAGATTGGTATGATACTTGAACAAACAAAACAAATCACGGCGTATCTTGTGGCATCAAGCAAATCACTATCCGTCAATGAAAGCTTCAGGTATTTGTATACGTATACATGTATATGTCACACCTAATCTGTGCACTGCAAACTGCGTGCGCTGGGAAGGCCGACTGCCCAATATGAGCAACGTGCAATACAGCTTGGGCAAACAATTGTCTGCTCGTTACATGAAATGAACAACAGTTGTGAATGAAAATAATTCTCCGAATGTTTCAAAATGTGAGCAACCAGCTCTGGGTAGGTAATTGTTCTGCCCAGTGTACACAATTGGAATTGGTTCACAAGCGACTTCAGCTGCTGACTTGGTCTTCAAAGGTCGAATAACGTGAACGACCTGCCCAACGCACAGATTGGGTGTATTTTTTTCGTTTAACTTTGCGTGAACACTAATTGTGACAAAATACTGTACAATTAATCCTGAAGTCCATCCAACCAAACATCTTTAATATTTCTTTCCATGAATATGTTTGTCTGAACGGACGTTCCATTTGCATAATCATTTGTTCAGAAGCCACCTGAACCTGTAAAATGGTGAATAATTCTGCTTCATATGTACGACTGATGTTTTCGAAGATGATATGTGCTCACAGATACCAGTGGTAAATCATACACTGACATAGTGGAAACGTATTATGTTGTTCGTTTGGCAAGTCGATGCTTCTGTGTCGGTTCATGGCGTATACAGATCAGTGAAGAGAAAAACAACCGTTATTTGTCACAAAGTATACCTTTTGATTATACTTGAATATTCCGACTTTTATTGTGACATGCTTAAATGTCCTTTCGATGTGCTAAGACCCTGCAGTTGGTCATACTCTCGTTTGTCTGATTCAGACACAGCTACTGTGTAGTACAGTATTGAGTAGCTCCTTCACATTCATTTCTTTCTGAGCTTTATGTATTTACCTTTGTCAGGTGTTGACAACATGGGCCTGTTCTGGAGTATGAAGTCTGTTCCAGGGGTGTCAATGAGCCCTCTTCTTAGACAGGTGGATGTGACAACACCTCTTCTCTTCAAAATCACTGTCATAGATGACCACATCCCATTATCCAACCTCACGCTTCCAAAGACAATTGTGCTGACGACAGGCGAGTTAAAACGCTGGTACAAACACTCGAGGTGAGTAGGATCGTCGTACGTGAAGCTTCCCTAAGAGGAAGTCTCTTCTTGCCCGAAGGTACGCCCTGATATTTCTATAGCTATTTTAAGAAGTCACAAGGTGATGATCTCACTAGAATGTGCAGATGCTAATACAATTACAGACACTGGGACACATAAGTGATAAAGAGACCGCATTCTCACTATGTTTTATCACATCACTTCACATGGTGATTATAATCTGTTCAGGCGTACCCCAGCTTCGTAATATTTGGCTATTACCAGAATATACACGTTCCTTTTCCGTACATTAATCCAATAGTAACGAAACTAGCTTCATCACATAAGCGCGGCTAGTAGTACACGCACCCACACCATTGAAAACGTCTTTAAGAACACTCGCACACTCAAAAGATATCATGTTTCGTATGTTGCTGATGTATTGACACAAACGAGGGAAATTCCACTGCACAATATTGCCACTTAACAAAATGTCCTTTTTTACCTTACTCGGTCTTCATAAAACCCTAACACCGACTATAGTGGAGCTTCTAAGGTCAAGTGTTTATAAGAATGGTGCATTTGCTGATAAAAGCACCAAAATGGGTCATCATATAAAAGAATATGATGGAAATGAAATTATTTTGAGTGCCTCCATATCCTAAAATGTTCTCTATGCATCAGTTTATAAATGTGCAAAGTTTCATGCTTTTATCATTAAATGCACATTTATCTGCTTAGCCGCTCCACTACTAAGCTTTGAGTCGGATTAACTAATCCTGCACATAACGTACTCGATAATACCTCACAAGCTGTGATCTGCAGACACCACTCATGGAGCTGATGACGTTTCACCGGTCTCATTTTTCTCTAATTCAGATGGGAGGGGAGGTAGACTCTTCACGTTTGCTAACCGATTCTCAATCCACAATGAACTCCTCATAATAATCTCCTTTGCTATTTCCAGCCCAATCCGAAATTCCGTATTATATTCACGAAACTCAAGAAAGGTCTGCGAGAAAAGTAGCAGCTTTAGTGCCCATGAGGTAGTGAACCTCTTGCCATGTGTCCTGTCCTTAAATTTCAAAATGGATGATATACACCAGGATGATAATCATTTCATATATTTCTTTCTCAGAAGTCCTCAGATAACATTCACTGATGGATCAGATTAACTTTATGCATGGCAACCACGTTTACCAATTGCCCCATGGATCAAAGAATACTGATTTCCCCTGAAGTTTGTCGTTAGGGCAGTAGTGTACTACTGAAACTTCAGTACTAAGTAACATTACTATTGGACATATCAGTCATACAATTTGACCCTGCCATGTATGAATGTCATACAAAACGATGTAAAATATTTTCATCAATGATTATTCAAAGGTGACGGGCCTTTTCCTGGAGTGATCGACATGTTTGGTGTTGGAGGACTGGTTGAGTTTCGTGCTGCACTGTTGGCTTCTAGAGGTTTTGCTGTCTTTGCGCTAGCCTACTGTGGATACGATGATCTCCCAAACTCATTGTCCGACCTTTGAGATTGATTACTTTGTTGTAAGTTGTTTCACTTTGAGTATGTTTGAGTTTCCTTGGGGGAATGGAGAGATACAGTTCCAAGGTTGTCCAAGCATGAATATGTTTTATATTGAGATATGTTTACTTCCGAATCTAGTATCTGTATTAAATATTGATGACGAATAAGCAGTCGAATGTATACTGCAATGAACAAAACAAAGTGTTCTAGTGTGAGATGTGCTTTACAAATTTGTGTCACAAATGAGTCATTTAAGATATATACCAAATATGTCATCCTTACACTGCAGAAATCTAAATAACTATGCTTGTTTTGGTTAGAATGCTGTTGACTGGATGGCTTCCCATCCCTTTGTACTGGGTCCAGGTATTGGAGTGGTCGGAGTCTCTAAGGGAGCTCAACTAGCCTTCTTGCTTGGCATGACCACTGATAAGGTAAACATGGTTAAACAATCAGTAAACTCTTTTACTGTTGTATATTTTTCTGGGTTGGTTGAAACGGGAACATCATTTTGTTTTATTTATAAACAAACAATAAAGTGTTATTCCAATAGGTTATGTGTCACAATATATCCGTGGGGATGTGCTAGCAATGTGAGTGATTAGTTCATTGCGCCTAACAGGCAGCATGTCTGTATGATCCCCAGGGAGTTGAAAAAGTATAGGATAGTACGATAGTGTCCTATGACAGGGGATAGCAATGTACGTAGCGCCATGAGCAGGCAATGTGCCTGGATATGAGCGCCATATAAGCGGACTATTACTATTACTATTACAATCTGTCAAGTTAAATACGGGTTACGGGCACAGCTACACAAACACATGCAAAGGGAAAAGGAACTTGCTATTGTTACAATAGTAATCATCCATCAATTAACAGTATTTTACATAGCTTGACTAATTGGTTTAAGGGGTTCGTATTCTTCCCACACAACCCATTTATGTGTTGATAATATGAATCATGTAATCAAATTGCCTTTAACTCCTTCAAAAGGTTAAAGGCTCTGGTGAGCATCAACGGCCTTCCATTTATACTACACTACGATGTCAAGAAGTCTGGACAGGTGTATTGGAAAGCAGTGAAGTAAGTTCTGTCACGTAGCAATGTCGTATTCTTGGTCAGAAAAGCTTTTTTCAGCAGAACCTCTTTATGTCCTCACGGAAGACCACAATAACATTCTGCCACACATTTGTTACCTACATGTAACATAGGTGCCCCAGTTTGTATGTGGAATGTCCATTGCATCACATGATGTGGCTTTCCACGTTTGGCACTTTATTACAATTTGCCTAATAAAGAAACTCGTTTTAATATTGGTCAACAGTTGCAATTCATTTGCCGAGTACTATAAAACAAAGGAAAGTGGACCTGAAATAGAAATTGCACGCCTTCAAAACTACCATTCAATTTTGATTTTGTCCTTTTTCATACCCTTGGATAATTCCATTTATATCTTTTTCAAGGGTTGACATCAACAAATTAAAACATACTGATGAAGGTGTTCATCTTAAAGATGGCCTGGTCTGTGACACAAAGTCATTCCGGTTAGTCGGTTTGTTTGTTTCTGGCTTGGCTATGGCAGTATGTTGCACGTTTCTGGAAGTATAATGCTGTGGAAATCAGAGTTGAGTAGAGAACCAAATCCTAAATTTTACGTTGTCAATGATTAACAAATGGTAGCCTTTGATACTAATGAAACTGGAGGAATCAGTGTTTACCAAGAAAACATTTCCTTGGTAAAGTTGCCATTTTTGTTGAAATCACAGACTATTTAACGAACCATGAAACATAACAAAAAACATCAACAAAGTTATCTGTAATTCAAACGCACCGCCGAATTTCAAAAATACGAATGGAAGGTAATTTTACATTTTATGCGTGCAGGCGTGGACGAATAATGCCCAAATATTGTACTTGTGTGGTGACGATGATGAGACATGGTCGACTGACTATGCAAGAAAATTCGTAAAGATGAGTCCTGAAGAAAAGAGGAAAAACATTGAACTTGTCATCTATCCAGGGAGCAGGTCACCTCATCGAACCACCATTCATGCCAGTGTGTAGAGCAATAACTACCACAAATATGCCGGTAAGCAAGTCAATGAAAATATTTTGCAGCGTCACAAAAGCGCGCGTTACCTTCTACGAATCTTTGAAGAAATTCAGGCAAACCACAACAACCTTCAATTTTAGATCCAACACCTTGTTTTCTGAGAAAACGCATCTTTGTATACATAATATTTTAATAGAAAAAAAAAGTTGACACATTAAAAATGGTTGAGTTAATATGTAAGGTCGCATCGGCATTGTATATGCCATACAGCGGCGAGAATGGTTTACTTATATACACAGATGAATCACGAATAACATCTCAGTCATACGCCTATTCTCATGACCCGTGAAGGTCCGGGTTAGAATATTGATCTTCAGTAACCCATGCTCGTCGTAAGAGGCGACTAACGGGATCGGTGGTCAGGATCGCTGGACTTGGTTCACACACGTCATCGGTTCCCAATTGCGAAGATCGATGCTTATGCTGTTGATCACTGATTGTCTGGTCCAGACTCGATTATTTACAGACCGCCACCATATAGCTGGCATATTGGTGAGTGCGGCGTAAAGTTAAACTCACTCACTCACTCATTACAATATTAAGTCCGGGTGTTTAAACCAGTAGCTATACGCCATCAGCAACCAACGCTGGGTGTGCAGTGCGTACGCTTTCAACAATGGTTGATGACAGTTGCATCGGTTATGGTAGGAAATATGTGTCAGAAAGGAGGACAGACACTGTATGGTTGAAAATACCATGACACCTTCCAATTTTATTAAATCTCTAATAAAAGTAGAGTCAATCGTACGATTCCGACAAAGTATGTTTTCATAAATCAATATCAAATAGTATTCACAGAAAGACTATCGTACCCTGCTTCACCATCAGAAATACACACACGGGCGAGTCAGTTGGCATCATATTAGTATTACCAGATGTAAAAGCACACGCGAATCTTCTTTCTTTTTTTGTATTTTGTATTTGTTTTGTTGTGTTTTTTGTTTTTGGGGGTTGTTGTTTTTTCGTTGTTGTTTTTTGTGTTTTGTTGTTTGTGTTTTTGGGGGTGTTGTTGTTTTGTTTGTTTTGTTTGTTTGTGTGTGTTTGTTGTTTTGTTTTTATTTGTTGTTGTTGTTGTTTTTTTGGGGGTGTTTCAAATTAGAAGATTTCCATGAAACAGGAATCGACATCATAGATACATTCCTTCTTTTCAAGTTCTCTTTGAAATGTTTTCGTCATCAGGCCTAACGCTGGTGATGGGTGGACAAGTTGAAGCTCATGCTGCAGCCCAAGAGGATGCCTGGAAAAGACTTCTCGACTTTCTTCACAAGCATCTGTCACAGGAGCATCACCCTCTGTCGATTGTAACTGACACAACACTGGATTGTTCCCTGAAAAGACTTTGTTCTTAGCATAAATCCCATATTCAGCACATCCTAAAGACTCTGTTCGAGTAGAGTACGCATGGATTTTCTTAGAAGTAGATCAAGATAGCAGAAACATACGATAAGACATTCAATGTTTGTATTTAAGAAAAAAGAAAAGACTTGTCAAGCATTAATAACAAATATCCGTACTAAACAATTTAATAAAACAATATTTAAACATATTGAACATAAAAATGTGACATTTCCAGTGTCCTGAAAGAGCCCGTCCTGAGGCAGAGACATATTCGAGCCATACCACCACCTGTAAACATGTTACAGGGAATGTGTGTGAAACCAGGGATTTCACTTTTTCCTGTAATAAACTTAAATGCAGTGGCACCCTTAAGCTTCAATATTTGCACTATATAAAAATATCAAACATGATGAAATAACACTGATCAAGCAGTAAGAGATTCCTTAACAATTGTATAAATCGGAATATTGTGTCATGCTGTGTGTCCTTTACTACTTTGGTTGTCAAATCTGATATAAAAATTAGTGACATGCTATTGTTGCTTCTTCATTCTTTCTTTGATACTTCGAAATTAGAATATGTTGACCTATATCGCTCACGGAGTCATTGTTTAATCAGTGAAATGCACAAAACAACAAAAGCAAAATTACGTTAAATGAGTTAATTCCTACTTAATGTTAAATATCAGTCATATCGTGACCAGAAGAAATACGACATCGATAAGGATTACATGTATATTAAGAGCAAAGCAGAACAGCATTACATTGTCTAGCTGATGGCAATGCTGCATCCAGGCGACGTAGCTGCATCCTGGCGATGTCTTAGTTAGTAATATATTTCTCTCAGAATTAAAATACCGAGGACCTTTCTGGTGACTTGTGTGAAATAGAACACAAATTATTAATAAAGTGTTTTAAATACATTTTAAAGAGCAAAGTATGTTTACATTAACTAACGACTTCTAACAAAGAGATACTCATTGGACTAAATCATCTTTCCAACAAGTAAATATATATCGCTGAAGTATCAATCGATTTTAGTACACGTTCAATATGTTAATACATGTACATAAGCTTTCTCGTGGCGCGCTGAACGTATTACCAAGCTGCAAGTCACGTCCTGAGCACCTTATTGGCGATATCAACTGTATCTATGATAAATCGATTCTGACAAGCACTGTCATCAGATCTTCACATATTCACTAAAAGCAAAATTAATATCGTCTTTCCCACGTCTTACATTAACCACAGCTGTATGAATAGTGACAATAATTAGAAATCGTCTAAATCATATGGATGGTAGTTCAAATATACATTGAACGAGACAAGGTGAAGGTCACTTTAGCCATTGCCTGAAAAGAAAATGAAGTTTAACTATTCTTGTTAAACTACTAATGTTGCGGGCTGGGATTTATATGGAATACTGTAAGGACATTCTCGCGATCTCGCATACTCGTGATCTCGTCCTTTGGAAACAAGCTAAAATGCCAAAAGTGCGAGAATGCGAGATCGCGAGAATGTCCTTACAGTATTTCATAGATTTACCCTCTATGTCTAATGAGAATAAAGGCGGGTGTGAGGTCAACTCGTTTATTCCGATAGTAGGAATCTGTAGATTGAAGTAGATATCGGCAGATATCAGTAGACACTCTGTAACACAATTGTATAACCATAAGTACAATTTCATTCAGGGGCTAAGATATAAACATATCATATCATATCACATTACATCACTACGTTACATAACATCCATGGTATGGTGATCTACCTTCAGTTGCTAGCAATCTATAGCCTTTTTTATACGGTATTTGGTTCAGGTGACACGTTTGTATAATCACCTTTAATTGGCAATTCATTCCCCATTGTCTGAAAACGTATTTTATGGAAGTGTAGTCACGTAGCTGGTTAATTTTGAAAGCACCCACTGGTCATAATGTTTGGAGTGCAGAAATCCTGCGGAATTGTGTGAGCACCATTCAGTTTTCAGAGTTCAAGACACCATCGTCATCACCGGGCGACCAAGGCGATGAGATATGCAAAGTGTCCAAACGTGTTGGTTCATTCCCCTAGTGAGCCAAGCTGGATTCTTTCGAACGCGTACAGTGTGTGAAACTAATTCACGCTCTCCTATTCTGTCATAAGGCTGGAATATTGCCAAAAACAGAGATGTTTAACCATTCCTTCTCATTTACCAGTCCGATTGTAATTGATTGAATCATACTTCGATATGTTTGGTGTCTGTGTGTGTCTGTGTGTCTGTTTCAGTAAAAGTCAAAGGGAAGGAAAACAGTTATATGACAATTTTTCTCTCCAAAGTGTTTGCGGGGTTGTATCAATATTTATATATTCATCTGCTAAAACTTCATACGTTCCTCCAAACAAATACAGAGACCAAACTGTTTCTCTACTACATTAAAGATAAAAAGTATTCCCAGAAATTATTGAGTAGGTTGTTTCGGCAAATATCTAAGACATGTATGTAAACTATAGAAGTTTCATTTAAAATGAATATGTTGCGATTTAATTCACTTTACAGTCTAAGTGTCTTTTTCAGTACTTTGTGAGACTTCCTTGGCCAGCAATACACGACTGAATGTGTTTAGGTACACTACCCATCAAAATTGTAGGAAATCGTGTGACCACCGTTACAACAGGCATCGGTGGCTGGGTATAATTTCTAACTCGTACCATCGGGGTTTTACCTGATGCCCTTAATCAATGACAAAGTGTGGAGGATGTGTAGCCGTACTAATTGCAAATAGCATATGTCGAAATAACCCACATGAGCCTAACTGGTCGTTCAGTGGGATGCGTAATAGGATATCCAAAAAGCATGTTTACTCGTAAAATCGGGCAGAACTTAGAAAATAGCAATAACTGCTGAAAACAATAGATCAGATTATAGATGACCCATAGGTCGCTCAGCAAGGTATGACAACAGATCGTTGACTCACCTGGCATGAAATGCACGTGCTGCCTGTAGGTACAAGGTGTCATCTCAAAGATATTCTATGCAATTTCTTGTGTGTTGAATATGTCTCATATTTTGATTAACATCTAACAAGTCTTTCTTCAACAAAGTTTATGTTGAGATATGTGAGTGAGTTTAGTTTTACACCGCACTCAGCAATATTCCAGCTATATGGTGGCGGTCTGTAAATAATCGAGTATGGACCAGACAATCCAGTGATCAACAGCATGAGCATCGATCTGCGCAATTGGGAACCGATGACATGTGTCAACCCAGTCAGTCGCCTCTTACAACAAGCATGGGTTACTGAAGGTTCATTCTAACCCTGACCTTCACGGGTAATGTTGAGATATGTAAAAGAGTATGATACCCATAGAAAGCTTTTAAATCAGCCATCGTATTAAATGTCTCAAAATGTATAGGGGGCATGACCACCCGAAGATCGACAGGACTGGATATTATTTGTAAATTATTATGACATGCCGTTTACTTCCCATAAAGGGTGATCTTATCGTAGCTGATATTTCTATTCCCAGCCCGACCCTCCTACCTGTTTGTTTTTAGTGGTAGTGAGACTCCATGGTAGCTACATCCTTAATAGTTTTAGAATGAAAACATATTATTTTTTACGTCAGCTATCGTTTTTAATGCAGCTAAGTCTAATTTCAAAATCAGCATTTCAAAAGTGTTCTTTGTAATCGCACACTAATTTGCATAAACCCCCTTGTACTGTTCCAAATAAGTCGCTTTGGACTTACAGAAAAACCGCATTGTTCATTTCTCCACTAATCTCTCCTCAGTAAAGTCCTTGTTTTACGTTCCCTATCTCCTACCACTCAGACTGTAGTTAGGCCGAACTTAGTTCAACAGATATTTCACACTTGCACATATCAACTACATAAATTGTAGATACAAATGTGAAAAAAAGAAAGTTTTTATCTATTTCCGACAGTACTTTAGCTTCCAATACTGTGGATTCTTGAAATATACCTATATTTATCAGTTGTTGGAGACAAGAGGAATACCAGTATCAGACTCCACATAAGGTATGTGGCTCATTTCGGGTGCCTCCAACCGTTATATTGCTCCCAAAATGCTGAGAACGCCATAAAACCATTCTCACTCTCTCGCCCATAGATAATGTTATTCTACCACGTCGATCTCAAACAACGTCGCAACACTAAAATAGCAGATCTACCACGGCACCCAAAAACAGACGATATCCTCCCACGCCATCCTAATAACAGACGATATCCTGCCACACCATCCTAATAACAGACGAAACCCGTGAAGGTCCGGGTTAGGATGAACCTTCAGTAAACCATGCTTGTCGTAGAGGCGACTAACGGGATTGGGTGGTCAGGCTCGCTGACTTTGATTGACACATGTCATCGGTTCCAATTGCGCAGATCGTTGCTCATGCTGTTGATCACTGGATTGTCTGATCCATACTCGATTATTTACAAACCGCCGCCATATAGGTGGAATATTTAGTAAAAGTAAACTCACTCACTAATAACAGACGATCTCCTACCACGTCACCCTAATAACAGACGATCTCCTACCACGTCACCCTAATAACAGACGATTTCCTATACCACGTCACCCTAATAACAGACGATATCCTACCACGTCACCCTAATAACAGACGATATGACATCCTACAACGTCACTACAACAACAAACACAAAATACGGCCCACCCTACAGTAAACGATAATGTAATGAAGAGTGGTAAAATCATCGCTAGAGTTGAAGAGAGACAAGACTAGTGCAGTAGTTCAATATACATACACAGAACGGTGTCAATCAAGGCATGGGCACACACCCTACTCGTACAGAAGGAACATTAAGCAGTCACTATCTTTCCTACAGTACTTTTAAAAGTACTGCCTCAACATCTACGAAATCCACGTATCACCCCTGCCGTAAACTTCCCACGCATAAACAAAGAGCAATAAGGTATCAAGAGTTATCTACCTTGTTGTTCTTTACGACGGAACTGCCTTCGTTCGTAAGTTCTGTTTCAGGTAAATCATCAC